CGTCCGGTGGGAGCATTGATCGCTTGATCGGTGAGAGTCCCGCCTTTTGTCTCTTTTAGCCCGTTGCCGTGGCTCAGGGCTCAGAGGTGGCACGAAACTTATTGGTTGAGCAATTTCCGGGAGTGCTGTTTTGTTGGACGTTTGTCCAGCTTTAATTCTCAAGGCATCGTCTTCGACTTTGCAATACTCCTCAACTTTCTTCATCAACGCCCAGACTGTTTTGGGGGGTCTTCTGGTCAGGGAACTGCAAAGAGCGCTGTCAGGGTGTAGTCCCATTTTGAAGGCGATGATGGCCATGGAGTCGTTGCAAGTGTCGTCAACGAGATTAAAGCACTCGCAATAGCGTGCCGAGTACGCTCTGAGCGTTTCTCTTAACTGGATCTACATAGCCCAGAGAGAGTCGGCCTGTTTCGGTTGCACCTCGTTGGTGATAAACTTGGCCCTGAAAGATTTCTGCAATTAATGGAAGCTTTTGATCGAAGCCGACTCCAGCTTGTAATACCACCTGACAGCTAATGGCCCCAGGCTGCTGGGGAATATTCGGCACATGAGAGCCTCGTTGTCTGCATGCAATGTCATGGCCTGCTTATAGTGACGGATATGATCAGTGGGGTCTGATTTTTCGTCGTAGAGAGCGAATGGCGGAGCTTTGAACTTCTTGGGCAGGGCCGCCCTTGCAATCCGTCGAACAAAGGGATCATGCTGGTCGTCTTCGTCTGAACTGTTTTTTCTGCGCTTGTTCCTTGTACGAAGACTCTTTTTGGAGGAGCTGGAAATTTCGGATCGTCCCCTAGTGTTGAGCTCCGTGGACAGTGAGTTGGAGTCGCTATCGGTATCCCTTGGTCGGGCTCGAGGTGGTTGTCCACCTGCCTTCGGAGGACGTTCAGGATCTTGGCGCACGGCTTCTCTGAATTTTGCCACTTCCAGGGCCAAGTCTTGACGGAGACGTTCATTTTCAGCGATCATGTTCTCCAGCCTTTGTTCATTCTGCTTTGCTTGTTCCATGATCGCTTGCATTGTCTCTTACGCTGAAGTCGTTGGTGAATCGAAGTTCAAGGTGCGTCTTGCAGCGATGGTTTCCTTTCCGAGCATATTTGCCGGAGTGAGGTCATCTCTCTGTGTGGTCTGGTCGGTGGCTATCGAAGGATCTTCAGTCATGCCTGCCATGGATGTATTTGAGTATTCCCACAGACGGCGCCAATTGTGGAGAAGTGGTTTTGGAAATATTCTTCAGATCCTAGGAGACGCTAGTGATCCTCAGCTAGTCACCTGAAAAGACACAAATACTCCGGTCGGGGGTGCCGGAATTAGCACTCCGACGGACAAGTCAGTTCTTGTACTCAAAATAGCTTGTCTTCTAAGTTAAGCAAAAAGTGATTGTTACATACCTTTCTCAATCCATTATTCCTGTATTTATACCTGTTCCTTTTGATCCTCAGGGCCAGGGCCTACTTTTTGATCATTATCCTTTCTCTTATTTGGCTCTAAGGATCTACACTTATTCAGCACATATATTATATTCGGCTTCCCATTCTTGTAGGATACAGCCAATTAATATCAGTCTTCTAAGGTACACTCCTTCTGATTTTGCCATTATTCGGCTCCCACAATGTATAAACAAAATTGGCCTCTACATGGAGTAATTAATATTGGGAAATGATGTGTCCTCTCGGATGAATTTAACAATTTTTTAAAGAAAAAATTACACATCAGTGATATTTTTTTTAAAATAATTACTAATTCATGAAACAATTTATGACTTTCATCATTAAAATTTATAAGATGTACCATTTGTTTGAAGTTATTTTTACATACATTGAATTGTTATTTTTCTCTTTTTTAATCTCCCATTCACACGACCAATGATATGTGTAAATATATAATTCATCATATCTAAAACATAATAGTAAAGTTAATTACAAATTATATTAAGAGTAATGTTATATACACCAATTAGTACATTAACCAGTGTACCAATTGATGATGTGACATAATTTCAGATATTTTTTATATTTGTAATTTGTATAATGAGCGGGGTCAATAATAATGTCATAACTAGCATTGGTACACTAGTTAGTACACTAATTGATATATGTAACACTATTCTTATATTAAACTGGACAATTATAATCTAACACATTTATAACTGTAACAATCGTCACACAGAAATTCATGATGACTAGAAATAAACAACTTAATTAATACAACCCTTATAATTAGTGATAAATAACCAATCTAAGCATTTAATATGCTTGACCTCTGGCCTCCAAAGTATAAGTGTACACCATTTGGTTTAGAAAATAATGAGATTAAAAGCGAACTACGCTAACAGTCTCTGTAGTTTAGTATTTATATTATTTTAGTTATTAGTTTTTTAATTGTGACACATTTGATCTTAAATTTTGAATCTTATTCTCAATAAAGACAATTGAAGATACAATTGTTTAATTTCAAAGACAAAATCATCAATTTAATAAAATATAAACTAATTTGACAAAAAATTGATGAGAAAATGAATCTTATTCAACTTAACAAAAATATCTTCTATGATAGTGATATTTATATACAACCATTAGTAACTCTAGTAACTAGTTAACTAAACTAACTAAGGTACAGTTAACACAAAACTTCTTGACTAACAAACCACTACATGTAAACAACTGCACTACGACCTACAGCAGCTCTAACTGATTTGGTGAGATGTAGTTGTGGTTTCAACTGTAGCTTTGCCTTGGTCAGCTCACATGAGCTGGTATGTGTGGACTGAGCTTCTTCTGGAGATGTGTGCTGAGCTTCTGTAGCTTCTGCAGATACATTATCATGCCCCCTCAAGCTAATGGGAGAGGAAAGAACCATAAGCTTGGATTGGAGGTAATTAAAGCGGGAAATAAACAGAGTCTTGGTGAAAATATATGCCACCTGATCAGAAGTAGGGATATAACAAATGGTGAGCTGTTTAGCAGCTACCCTTTTTCTGACATAGTGATAATCGACCTCTATGTGTTTAGTTTTGGCATGAAAAACAGGATTAGAAGACAGAGAAATGACAGAGATATTATCACACCACAATGTAGGAGAAGAACAAGGAACATGCTGGTCAGAAAGAAGCATACCAGCCAGCTTAACTCAGTAGCAGTGTGAGCCAATGCCCTATACTCAACTTCAGTAGAGGATCTAGCCATAGTAGGCTGCTTTTTAGCAGACCATGACACCAAATTTGGATCAAGAAAAACACAAAACCCAGTAGTTGATCTTTTATCCAGAGAATTACCAGCCCAATCAGAGTCTGAAAAGCATGCAATGTAAGAGGACTAGGACTAAACTGAAGACCATAACCAAGGGTGCCTTTGAGATATCTGAGAAGCCTTTTGACCATCACAAAATGTCGAACAAGTGGTTGGTGCATAAATTGACAAGGAAAATTCACAGCAAAAGCAAGATCTAGTCTGGTGATGGTGAGGTATTGAAGACCTCCAACAATACTTCTATAGAGAGAAGGATTGGAACAAGGTAAATTATCATTGGGAGAAGAGGAAGCAAATTTAAGAGCCATGGGGAAAAATTTGTGGCTTGCAGTCAGTAATACAAATAAAATAATAATATTTATTTATACAAAATGATATGAAAAATTTATATCTATTCATTAAAAAAAAAAAACTCATCAAAGTGGTTTATTATTTCAAATGTGCCATTTTCATATCATTCTTAGATATTTTTTGTATAAAATTTTTATTTGCAACTCATTTTTCATAATTCTAAAAATACCATTCTAAAATAGAGTCAGTAGCAACGTGACACGATAGAAATTCGTAGTCCAAAGTCTCCAAAGAAAGATTAGTCGAGATTTTAACATCTTCAAACAGTCCAGCAGGTTTAGTACTCAGAGATGACATTGAAAGGTTCTCAGATGACATTGAAAGGTTCTTCGAATTGAGAGCAAAATGTCTAGATAGAGAGACAGTTTTCAAAGAGCTCGAGATGATGCATGCTAATTATTACCATGTAAAATAATATATATCTAGAAGAATTATCGTAAAAATATATTTATGGATCATATTCATTTTAAATATAACTTACATCACATCAATTCTAAATTTACGCCATCTATCTCTCTTTTAAAAGAACTTTTAAGATAAAAAAATTCTAAGTAGGTAGCATATTTCTATACAAATAACCGTGTATTTCACGTATTACAATTTACTATTAAGCCACTATTGTTACAACATTAATACATTATTATCATCACATATTAACCATGGTTCCAAACTAAGTTGACGAGGAAGGTAAGCTTGTGAAAGCTAAGGTTCATACATTTCCTATTCAAAACCTTAAAAACTATTATTAGTTTGTTTTTTTGGTTCATATCTAAGGTTCTAAATATCGCCCGGTACGTGCTGTACCAGCCGGTTCGTACCGAAAAATTGGAGTCCCGAGTCGGATACTCACCGGTATACCGGTGAGAATGAATTTCGCGTCCGTAGCGGCCGATTCCCGTTACGTATCGGCCTGAATCCGATACGTGAGCGATATAGTTCCGATACCGGTACAGCTGAAAATGGAGCGAAGCACCTGCAAAAATAATTGAGCAAAGGTTTGTGCTCTCACCGATTTCAAACTTCTTCGTTGAAGGTTTGTTCTCTGAGAGCTATACTGCTCTGTTTTGAGACTGTTTGTATGGACTTTGGAGAACTTCTCTGAGAAAAGGTTTGTTCTGTAGGTGAATTTATATGATCACCTATAGACTCAATTACAAAGGTTTGTATGATCAAATGTGAATTTATATGATCACCTATTGAGCAAAGGTTTGTCAGAGAAGTTCTATTTGTAACTACAAGACTCTATAGGGTGAATTACCTTGATTAAGTGTGTTTGTAATTGAGCAAAGGTTTGTTCTCTGAGAACTTCTCTCACGCTCTGTTTGTATTTGTCATGCTCTGTTTTTTCTTTTGGCTGAATAAGTGATGCTTTTGCTTGTTAAGTTGTTGTGTTTGGTTTATAATTTTTTTTTTTTCCTGTGGTTATTTTTTTATTTATATTATGGTATGGGATGGGAATGGAATATATTTTAATATATATTTATGATTGTTTAAATATTTATATATATATATATTTGGAGCATTTATATATATTGAAGCAAAGCTCTGCAGATCCCCCATCCACCTTTATATTTGATGTCCCATTTTATTTTTCTATTTTAGTCTCCCATGTGTTGATTAGTTTCTTTGCAGAGTCCAACATTATGTACCAAATTCTAAATCATATTTTTCCCATTTAATCATTTTGTTTGAAAAATTATCTAACATTATGATGAGAGGTGGAGGTTAGTATTGTATTAGTACCAAATAAAAGCTTGAGACTAAAATAAATACATATCATTTAGTTGAAAATGAGTCAAAAGTGCCTTTATATATCAAAACTTTGATTAAAATGTGATAAATTAAGGCTAAAAGAGCCCCAAAAAATTCATAAAATTGAGTTTTAGATGAATTGCTAATGATTTTTGAAATTTTACAGTCGCGACGCCTGATACGCAATACGTACCGATCGATACTATCGATACTGATACTCCGCGATCGATACCATTACGTTACCTGATACGGTGATTTAGAACTATGTTCATATCAGCAAAGATTCAGCAAAGGAATCCAACTGAACTTTGACATCATCTTCTGCCTTGAGAAGTTGTAGGTACTCCTCATAGAGCTTCTGTAGAGTGTGATCAGACATTGGCAACAATTGAGAATGGCATTCGAGGGCCGAACCGTTGACTAGATCGCGATCTTGATGATCATCACCAACAAGAAAGCCAACCCTATTTTCATGATCCGCATCATCTTTGAAATCAGACCGTGGAACATGCACGACTTCTGTACCAACAAGTAATGATCCTCTGTGGTCTCCCTCATGACTTGATGAAGAACCGCCACTAATTGTCCAACCAAAACTACCATTCCTTGACATTGAGAAGGAACTCAAGGACTTGATCCTAGTGGGCTTTGGGTTATGAACTTTGAGCTTTTCAATCACTACAACATTGGATTTGGACTTGTTTTTTTGCTTTTTGCTGTTGCTCCTTCTCTTCTTTGGTTCTTTTAGGTGAGGATCTGATATTTTTTTGTGGGTATTCGGGTCGGTTCCTTGGCTTAAGAGTCTTTTGCTGAGATGGGTGTTCCAATAGTTCTTAATCTCGTTATCAGTTCGACCCGGTAGTCTTCCTGCGATAAGAGACCATCGGTTGCCAAGAAGAGCATGCATTTTGATAATTAGGTCATCCTCATCAGGGGAGATGTTCCCTCTCTTGATATCAGGTCTTAGATAGTTCATCCATCTTAGCCTGCAACTCTTTCCACATCTTAGTAGACCTTCGTGCACCAATAAGAGAGAGAGAAAAAAAAGTCTATATATAAGTCATATTGAAATACGTGTCTCTAAACATGACTCTAAAAAAAACCCACAAAGCAACTATATATTTGTACATATATAATATATATGCATGTCAAGGGCAGTTTGTCCAACACTGTTGTATTGTTAACCCTCACTCATAATCTAAAAGCTCAAGTGGTTTGGCCCACTTAAACATCATCTAGAAAGTGATAATTTTAGTTAAAAAGTTATTAAAAAAATTAAAAAATCAATAACTTATATTAAAAAGTCAAAATTTTATTTTTTTTCCTCTATTTTTTGCACATCTTTTCGTAAAAAATTAAAAAATCATTCTAAACATACTAATTTTTTTTAACATTATATTTTAGCAAAAAAGTCAAAAAAATAATTATTCATATTATCAAAGGAAAATCATATATAAGTGGGAGAAGGAAAAAAAAATACCAACACATGAGAGGTGGAACAGTTTGCACCTCAAGTGTTGGTAATTTTTTTTTTCCCCTTCTCTCACCTTCATATAGTTCCTCCTATAATCAACACACTCTCTTATGTAGGTGTTTGGGAAGTGAATTTTTTTGTAAGTTTTTTAGTTGTAGGATATTATTGGAGAAATTTTTTTTTGTGTTTGGGAAGATAGTTGGGTTTTTTATGGTTGGATGTGATGTTTGTGAGAGAAAAAATAAAATGATTATAGGGTTTAATGTGATATGCTGTTTAGATTTATCTGATACCATATTAATTTTTATTTATTTATTATTATTTTTTTTATCATGACTTAATTAAAAAACTTAAGTTATTAGAAAAGATGAACAACTTAATTATTTATATCCTTAACAAACAATAGGACTAGCTGATAGAGTTCCTGGTGAGAAAAGTTCAAATTACGAATATAAATAAACTCCCCGAAATGAGAGTAAGGCTGCATACTCTAAACCATACATTGGTGTGCTAGCTAAACCCTACTTTAGGGTGAAAATTAACTCGACTTTTGTTTTGTTTTTCTTTTTTTTTAATGATATTTATTATGTATCTATTAAGACTAGCTTGAAATGAAAAAAGAGAAGAAAAGCAAGCTAGAAAGAATGGTGTTAGTGAGTGAATTACCAGCTTTTTTAGGCAAAGATCTCCAATTGCCTTCACCATGAAGCTGAATATACTTGGTGAGCAATGCATCCTCTCTAGCAGTCCATGGACCTCTATGCAACCCAACCTTGGAACAACATGGAGCCCTTCCCATCTCTTTTATTATTCACTTTCTAATTTCTCCGTCTTTGTCGTCAAACGAGATATCAACCGATCAGCTATGCCAGAGCGGGCGGCTATGCTGGCCGGAGAAAGATTGACAGAGAGAATTAGAGAAGGAGAGAGAGAGAGAGAGAGAGAGAGAGGGAGAGAGAGAAGATTCTGATGATGAAGTTATGATGCTCTTAGGGGAGCACAAGACTAACACAAACATGTTACCCTTTTTAAACCATGGCTATTTAAACAGTGTTTAATACAATGATTGTTTTTTTCTTAAAAAACAAAAACAAAAAAGCAAATGCTGAAGAATAGAAAAAAGAGGCCACGTATGGGTTTACTACTTGTAGGGAGCATGTGAGTTTTTTGAGCCAACATGTGCGTGGAGCAGGTGCCTATCCACCATTCTTACTATCTGCCCTTCTCCTTTCCTTCATAAAATAATTAATAATAATAATAATTATTATTATTATTATTAATGAAAATTATATTTTAAAGAAATTACATGCATTATTTAGGACCAGAATAATTACTTATACAGGTTGTTTGTCACAATTTATCTAAAATTTTTTATATGTTTTCATTTTGAAAGTCTTTACCAAATTATTTAGCGTAATTTTTACTTATAACTTATATTAGGTAGAAATAACTTAAAATCAATGCAAAAATCCCCACAATTTCACCCACAATGTCATGAAATGATAAGTGTCAACTTTTGATTTGTCGCATACTCAATTAAGTAAGATTCTACTTCCTTGCCACATCAAGTGGGGCTTTACTTCCTTACTATATCATTATGGATATATTTGAGAGTCTCAAATGTAGGTCTCTAGCATTACTCGTTACGATTTTTTTATTAGTAAAATTACAAATTAGGTGTACTTTTTAAAAATAATTATATATACATGGAAAAATTTATGAATTTAATAATTAAAGTTTATAAACTTTATCATTAATTGAAAAACAATTTCAACAACTACACTAATTTGTTAATTTTCCTTTTTTTATTATATATTTAGTAAGGTTGGACTTCTCTCAAATTTAAATTTGAGTTTTACAAAACTTGAGGTGTTCATAGAGCTTATTATGAGTTTTATTTCGATGATCCAAGTTGTTTATTTTGTAGGGCCCTCCGTATATCATTCATAAAAAAATAAATCGATTCAATAATTATAATTTCTCATTTTATTGCATTTGTCTAAAAAAATATGATTGATTCGGTTTCATTTGGGAACAAATTATTTTAGTAAATTTTAGATTTTTTTGCTAAAATATGAGGTAAAAAAAATAGTATGTTTGGAATGAATTTTGACTTTTTTACAAAAAGATGTACAAAAAATATAAAGAAATTATAATCTTTGACTTTTGTGTATAATTTGTTGGATTTTTAACTTTTTAAATAATTTTTTAGCTTTTAGGTTAAAAAGTGATATTGTCAAACCAAGCTTGAAAATTGACTTTTTAAAAAAACTTTACCAACTTTTTATAAAATGACGTAAAAAAAATAGAAAAAAATGACTTTTTTTATTTTATTGGTGAAGAAAATCTTTATTGGTGAAACCAACAAGGAGTGAAAAATTACATCAATAAAGAGGAGGTTTGGGCTAAAAAGCACCAAGCGCCAATTGGTGAGGAACCAACAAAAGAAAGGAAGAAAAAAGACAACAACAGAAGCAAAACAGCCAGAAATAAATACACAGCAGCAGCCAAGCTTTGCTTTCCAAAAATTGACAGCAGCAACCTCAGTTGAGAAGCTTTGCTTTCCAAAAGCAGCAGATCACAGACGCAAAATCATAGAAGTTATAACCCATTACTAGTTCAAAACAATGAATCAGCCAGATGATCACAGGAACAGAATTCTCAAACATAATCCTCAGCAGTTTTAACTCTATTTTGCCTTCCCTATCTGATGGAAACAAATAACCAGCCTTACTAGTTCTGGGACAGAAGCAGAATCCTCAAGCAGATGCAGAATAGGTACACCAGCCACACAACTATAGCACACTAGCCATATTATCCAACCATGGCCCTCATCACACAACTATAGCACACACCACACAACTACAGCAGAACCCCTAACAGAGCAGACCAGGCAATTCAGAAAATGAAAAGACTTTTGTAATAACTTTTTAACTAACATATTGGTTTGGCTCATTTGGCAACATCGGAAATTAGTTGCATACTAACTTATTTAGGTCATATCATTTTTTTATATTTTTATATATCTTTTTATAATAAATAAATAAGTCATAACAAAAACAACCCAAAATAGACTTAAATCACAACCATAATTCTGTAGTCAATAAATGGAAAATTATAAAATATAAGGTGTTTGGAAAGCCACTTTTTGGAATTTTTGGGTTAAAATACAAAATAAGTTAGAATAATTAATAAAATAAAATATCACATCAAATACATAATTATTTAACTTTTTCTTTCACAAATATCATATCTAATTACAAAAAAATCTAACATTTTTCTCAAATATAATTATTACAATATACTAAAATATTCAAAAATTAAAATAATCAACTTTACAAATACGGGGACCAAACCAATACGGGGACCAAACCAAAGTAATTAAAAGCGACATACAAGTGGCTTACAACCAAATGATCACCACCGTTGATTTTGTGGCTGCAAAACACGTTTTGAAAACAAAAATGAGTGAGACCACTAAAAAAAACACTAATAGCTCTAAAGTGGTGTGGATCTCCCATGATGGGATGTTTTGCTCTTGTGTTTTTTTTTTTTTTGAATTTCCACCTCATTAGTGGTCCATTAGTGCTCCCAAATTAGTGGGATGAATCATTATTGTTTTCAAAAACTCAAATATTATACGAATCAATCACTTTCACCATTTCCTGTCATTTTTTTTTCTTTTTATAGGAATTATTCAGTTTCAAAAATTTTAATTAGACTGTTTGTCTATAAGATAATAGAAATTATTTTATATAATAATATTGAAAAAAATAGAAAATAGTGAATACATAACTAATAAAATTATAAAACATATCACGTAGAATGTAGAACGGAATCTTAATTTTTTTATTTTTGAAAATGAAAGTTCACTCTCTCGTGCAAAATTTTTAATTCCTTGACCAATAATTGGCCTCGCGTGCTGGGACAATTATTCAAATTTTATTTTAAACTCTCATTTTTTAATTAAAATAATTAAGTTTTTAAATTTCAATCCTTATTTTAATGGCCATGTTAGGTTTTCTTTAAAAAAAATATTATTTTTTTTCCTGAAAAAAAAATTGAAACTAATTTTATAAAATTAAATATCAACAAGATATTTTTTAAATTTTTAAAAAGTATTTATAACCTTTCAAAAGATAAAATTATACAAAAATGATACTTAGTGTTTTGATTATTTTTTAAAATTTCTTTCACCAAATTATTTTTTATTTTTTTAAAAAAAATTCTAAAACAAAATTTTAAAAATCAAATCAAATGTGGCCAATGTAATCCTCCCATTACTCACCATTAAGAAAATTGACATAAAATGCTGATGTGATGATTGTGTGAACAAAAACATATTTTATGATGAGTTGATAGTTTCCGCTTATAATATAATATATTCGTTTAAAATAAGAATTCTACTATTTAAATTAAATTAAAAGTGTATTTTGTTTACACATTTTTATGTGTATAAACAAAATTGGCCTCTACATGGAGTAATTGATATTAGGAAAAGATGTGTCCTCCCGGATGAATTTAACAATTTTTTAAAGAAAAAATTACACATTAGTGATATTTTTTTAAAAATAATTACTAATTCATGAAACAATTTATGACTTTCATCATTAAAATTTATAAGATGTACCATTTGTTTGAAGTTATTTTTACATACATTGAATTGTTATTTTTCTCTTTTTTAATCTCCCATTCACACGACCAATGATATGTGTAAATATATAATTCATCATATCTAAAACATAATAGTAAAGTTAATTACAAATTATATTAAGAGTAATGTTATATACACCAATTAGTACATTAACCAGTGTACCAATTGATGATGTGACATAATTTAAAATATTTTTGATATTTATAATTTGGATAATGACCGGAGTCAATAATAATATCATAACTAGTATTGATACACTAGTTAGTACGCTAATTGATATATGTAATACTATTTTTATATTAAACTGGACAATTATAATCTAACAACACATTTTTAACTGCAACAATGGTCACACATAAATTCATGATGACTATAAATAAACAACTTAATTAATACAACCCTTATAATTAGTGATAAATAAGCAATCTAAGCATTTAATATGCTTGACCTCTGGCCTCCAAAGTACAACTGTACACGATTTGGTTTAGAAAATAATGAGATTAAAAGTAATTACCCTAATAATAGAGCCCGCATATACATGTGAGAAAGAGGTACACCAACTGCCAATAACCCACAATTGTGGAATTTTCACACTTCCAAGTGAGAAAAAGAAAGGCAATGTATACCTACAACCTAAACTAATTTCTCCATTTCTTTAATTGCATACTATATTAATTGCTAATTGGGAATGACTCCTCACCCGACCTCTATTCTTTATACTTCTCTATACTTTATTTCATAAGTTCTATTTTGGATCAAGAATGATAATTTAAATTATTTATTTCATAAGCTCAACAGTAAAGATATATTATGCAAAAAATTAATTTCTGTAGATATCACTAAATACAAATAAATTATATTTTGTTTTTTAAAATGAACAAAAACTATAAATTTAAACTTAAATTGTTCATTTTATAAAAGAAATTGCGATTCGTTCCTCAATCCATCAATATTTGATGAAAATAATTTTTTACTTAAACGATTTTCACTGTAAAATTTACGAAATGAACGATTTAAAATATCATTATACATTCAAAATGAAACTTATAAAATAAAATACACAAAAAATATATAAGATAATGATATGAAAAGGAGTCATTCCTCATAATTTGCCAAGTAGATCCCCATATATCATCAATAATGCAGAGTGGAGAAATATTTGTGAGGCCAGCGAGTTTGGCCCCCACTAAACGGCTAAATGTTTGGGATTTTATGGCTGTCCTACCCAATAAGAAATTTGCCATAAAACAACCCCCCACCACCATCCTTCACAAACAAACAAAAAAATAAACATACATGTTGGGACCCAACTACCACACCCACCACCATTTTCATATTCCTTCAATTTCTTATGAGTAGGGTTGTAAACCAGCTGAGTCAAATCAAATTTTAGTACGTACTTGGATTCGAGTTCG